CTTTTGCATTGCACCACTAACTGGGTTTCAGTTTTATCTACACAGCTAACTTTATTTTATTGCTTCATATATTAATACTGGTCATTATTGATTTTAAAGTAAGTCACAGCAGAGGAAATATCTCTGACCACTATCCCTAAGGTTCCAATCATAAGAGTCATAAGGTTTAGAGATAGAAGAATCTGCATAATAGATGAAGAAACCGAGGATCTGAGAGATTTAATGACTGAAGGATGGCCAGTTAAGTTGTAAATGGCAAAGACTGGAAACACACCTATTGAAGAACCCAGAGCTGCTATCTCCAAATCCAAGGCTTTTTCAACTACACTATTCTGACTCCTTTGTTGGCATATTTTTACAAGTAGATAGATGCTCCTGTTAAAGACGACTGCAAGATATGATGTCTATTTGTTTAGAGAGGGTAAAATTTACATATCCACACTGACCAAACATAACTAAAAATAGAAATACAGTTGGTAGCCTCTTCTTTGCTATCTGTGACTGTGTGTTTGGAATTAACTACTTTCAGCTATAAAATAGTTTTTATAAGACATCGAAAACCAGATAAAACTAAAATATATTAATATGATAAAGCTGCTTCAGAATACAGTGACAAAATCAAACTGGTGACATCAGGAGGAAGATGATGGCAAAAACACTAACACTAATCTATTAAGACAAGAGAAATAGATGGATTCAGTTGTTAGGATAGAAATAATAATAATGGCTAACATTTATGTAGTGCATTGAAGATTGCAAAGCATTTTACATATATCATCTCTGTCACAACACAACAATCTGGAGACTGAGGCAATATTACAGCTTTTATTTCATACCCCTAGCTCTATACAGATTAAAACAGACAAAACAAAAAGCCCTACACGTCCTTGAGCGGAAGAACTCTATCTCATTCATTTCTGTGCTTCGCACAGGCATGAAAGACAGCATACTGTATACTCAGTAGGTAATGCATAAATGTTCACTGAACTAAGAGATAAATTTCAATATACAGATGGCAGAATTTTCTATACTAGTTGATGAAAAAAACTGGGAAAATAATGGTACTTCTTCAAACAAAGCAATACTTTTCTCCTCAATCACTATACCGCTGACCTCTCAAACTCTCCACATCCATTTTTGGCTGTTCCTTTTGCTGACTTTGTAGGATTCTCTTTCTCTTCCTGTTCCCATCCACTTCAAGGATGAAGTATTTCTTGAATCTTTTGTTCCCTCCTTTTCATCCCCACTACTCTAGCTCATTACCTCCTAGTCTTTTTGCTTTAGTCTACTGTTCACATTATTAGCCACATAATCTTAATGTGCTGTTTCCTTCAAGTCACTCCTCTGTTAAAACAAACAAAACAAAACATAAGGAGGCCCCTACTATCTACATAGGAAAAGTGATTTCAAAACATTCAAATCACTCAAATACCAGTAGTTACTCTTAGTATAACAGAAATACCTAAATTCAGCATTCAAGAACATACAAACTATCTCATGCTAACCTACATTCCAATCTTATTTTAAATCTTAACTATTTTCCTTTTGATACTCTACTTTCTGACCAAACTGGACTACTCACCATTCACTATTCTCATACTGTCTTCTACTCCTTAAAATAATAATATGATTTTACCTGAAATGTTAGAAATCACTAGTCCAACCCTCTCATTTTACAGTTGAGTTCACTGAAGCACAGAAAAGTGATGCAACTTGCTTAAGATGTACAGGCAATAAGTACTAAGGCTGGGATTTGAAATCCAGTCCCTTTTCTTTTTAAGCCATTCCTCCCTGACCTAGGTGCTGATTGTATGACTGCCTCTTCATGTCCCTTTGTTTTCAGAGTCCAGTATGGGGATCATCTCTACCAACAAGTCTTTCCAGATCCCTCAATGGTTGGAAATTATCTTCCCTTTCTTCAGTTTTTCATGGTCATTTGTATGGACTGCTCTTTCATATACCAATTAGTGTAATTAATAGAAATAATGAATTTCTATATATGTCTTCACTCATTAACTGGAAAGATCCTTAAGATCAAAGACTATTTCTAAGTTGATCCTGGAATACTCAGTTGCCAAAGCAAAATTTCTAGCTCCTAAGAAAGAGTTTATGGGTCCATCTCCACATTTCTTAATACGGATTATAAAATCTACACCAGTCATAAGGTTATGAAACCATGGTTTTGAAACAGTGTCATAACACTGTGAAGGGAAAAAATTGGCATAACTTGGTAACAATCTATTCATGATGTGAAAAAGGACAATTCAAAGATAGTTCCAATAGATCTAGTCTGAGAGACTAGAGTGATCATGGATAGCAATGTGATCTTTGCAAAAAGAAGCTGGCTTTTTATTTTTTTGAGGGGGTGAGAATATTAAGTTCTGTTTGGAGCAAGGGGAGTTTGAGATAACAGCCTGAGTTTAATGCCCAGGACTGAAGTACAAGGGAGAGCTCAATCTCTGTTTTGACCTATTTTCCTATCCCTTAAATGGGTCATAAACTGTCCAGGAACAGAATTTTAGTTCCAATCAGTAGACATGAAGAAGAAACTAGAAAAGAACTGAAAAAAAAGGGAGGGTTAATGACATGAAGAGAAACTGAAAGCAAAAGGAAAACAAATGTTTTAGGAGAATAGGAGAAACAACAGTATCAAAGGCCACGTTTAAAGAACTAGCTGTCCATCACTGGGTAGGTAGTTAGGACAACTTAGGTTCCAGTCCAACTTCTGACACATTCTGGCTACTTGGCCCTTGGCAAATCACTTAGTTTTTTTTCTTTTCTTTTTTTTTTGGGGGGGGGTGAGGCAATCGGGGTTAAGTGACTTGCCCAGGGTCACACAGCTAGTAAGGTCAAGTGTCTGAGTCTGGATTTGAACTCAGGTCCTCCTGACTGCAAGGCCGCCTAGCTGCCCCAAATCACTTAGTTTCTTAAGCATCCCCAAGCAACTCTCCAAGACTACAAATTACAGAACAATTGTAAATACCAGTGATCTCACAGCTCAAGCCCCCCTAAATATACCAGGTGTCCCCAAAAGCTATATGTATGCATTTATGTGTTACAACATCATTTGTAGTAATATCGATTGGATCAATTCCAAAAACTACTATGTTACAAATCCAAGGGACTTTAAGCATCTCTCTCTGAAGGGACAGTGTTTCAATACTGAAAGAAGGGAGAGGTATTTGGAAGAAAGGCTTGACGTTTACATAATTTAATACTAGACCTAGTGGTATACCAAAGAACAACGCAGTTTTGAAATGCTTTTTCAGACTAAGTGAATCTTACAATATTATAGTGAGATTTAAAGCTATAATATGATCTTTTTTTTTGACTAATAACCTGGAAGATGCTCCAGAATGCCTCCAATTTTAGGGCTACAATCCAAGTTACAAAGAGCAAAATCTCATCAGCCATCTACTATACACATCAGTAAGTTTCATGTGAACCCTACATACTGTGCAGAGGTCATTAGATATTTTACTTCATTCCTAAAGATAAAGGCAGAAAAATCCTCTGGAATGTTTGATTGAAAATAACTAGGGGGCAGCTAGGTGGTGCAGTGCATAGAGCACTGGCCCTCAAGTCAGGAGAACCTGAGTTCAAATCCAGCCTCAGATCAAACACTTGACACTTACAAGCTGTGTGACCGTGGGAAAGTCACTTAACCCCAATTGCCTTAAAAAAAAAAAGAAGGAAAATGACAGCACAGGCTAAGGAAAAAGAGGCACTCTAATAATTAATAGAAATAATAGAGATATGAAGTTCAAGATTGGCAAAATCCAGATAGTTTAATGATTCAGAGTAGTGGGTACATTAAGTAAAGCACAATCTTTAATTTCAGTTAACTTAGACTCAAATACATGAATATTAGTACTCACATACATATTGCTGAATAGGGAACATGGCACGCTAAAAGGTCCAATTAGTTTGATGCCCATCTGTTATAGTCTTGCAGGTAATTGGAAGGCTTTATGGCTCATTTTAATCCTCTTAGAATAGTTAGTGTATTTCAAGGATAAGAGCTCTATAAAGTAATCAAAATTCAGAAGGGCACAAAGTATACAGAAAAAAAAATAAAGAATGGAAAAAAAAACCACCCACAGAAAGGCAAGATGGCATCCAAATGTTTAAGAACTTAAACCAAAATAAAGGGCTGGTATGATGAGGAATATCTGTAATCCTCAACTGCTAAAGAGGAGCATGGGAATTCTGGACCTTAGTAGGACTAACAATGCACTAAATCTAACACCAATATGAAGAACATCCAGGCACAGGGTCCACCAAACTACCTAATGAGTGGGTGGAAGCTTCCATGCCAATTAGCAGTGGCATGGGGCTAGTAAATAGTTGATGCATTTCTAGCATGGGCTGAGATAAGGACACTAAATCTAAAAAAAACCCCAAAAAATAAACAAAAAACCCTCCAGGAAACCAATTAAATAAAAAGGAAGAGGACATAAAAGCACAAAAGCCATTAATGATAATAACAGGCACTGACCTTAACATTTGAACAAGTGTACTAAGAAGAGGTTCATAGACAGGAACATGTTAAAGCAAAAGAACATACCTCCTTTTCTCTCATATCGGATTCACAAATTTAAGGGCAAATGGATTATGAGAAATCCTAAATTATCTGGATTAATGTAAATCAATATAGACAAATGAAAATATAATTTATGACATTATATGAATCTCTGGTTGAACCACTAACATTAAAAAAAAACTAAAGAAACAAGTTTGGTTATAGAAAAGAAAATCTGTGATTATTGCTATGCTAAAATGACAAAAACAAAAGCACTAGTATAAGTCAAAACGAGAAAAAAAATCACTGAGGAAGTTCTACGATGTCTAAGACAGAGTCTTAAATCAAAGGCATACATTATTATGACTAAGTTGACAGATCTTCACTGCAATACAGAAATGCAAGCCAGAAGAAAACATCTGTACCAACTCACTAAAACTAGACATCGTTCCAACATAAAGCGCAATTTCATTCTTACCTGTTACCTGTGCAACAACTGCTTGGGAAATCCTCCGATTGGCAAGAAAAGCTTTGATTTCCTCTTTTATCACACTACTGTCCCGCCTAAAAAAAAAAAAAAGACCAACACATGTTTAAGTTAAAAATACTAATCTTGGCTAAAAATGGCAAAGGTAGGAAGTAAAGACTAAAGAAAGGAACAAAACAGAAAGAAGAAAAGGAAGGACAGACCAAACCCATATGAGAATATAAAATTAAACCAAGTTAAAAAATATAATACCATCTTACCTAATGCATAACGTGCTACCTACACCTACACCCACTACTGGGGGTGAGAAGGTGAACAACAAAAGACCATAGATTTAAGGTGGAAAGCATGTCAGAAGCCATCTAAGCCAGGGGTTCTTAACCTTTTTTGGCCATGTAGCCCTCTGGCACTATGACTGACACCTATGGACTACTGCTCAGAATAATATTTTTAAATGCACAAAATAAAATATGCAAGATTACAAAAGAAACCAATTATACTGAATTACATTTACCAAAACATTAAAAAATAAATTCACAGACCATACGTTAAGAAACTCTTGGGCTAGTCCAATCTCATCTTGTTAAAAATGATGAAACTGAGAAATAGAGAAGTTAACTGACTTGTCCAAACCAGGAAGCTTCAGAAGCAGCATTTAACCTTAAGTCTTCCTGGCTCTAAGGCCAACACTCTATCCACTACACCATGCTGCCTCTCAATTTATCACTGACGTAAAGACAGAAAATCTATTATGCTGAGGAAAGAGAGCAAAATTACATCCTAGATAAAAAAAAATACACATATTTTGTTTTTAAAGTTTTAGGAAAATTATGTCTATACAGTCATGACTACTAAAGAAAGTATTCTCTATTTTAAGAAATCACTTATTCTTTTAAGGGTTATCCTTGGGTTTTTTGGTTTAATTTGAATAATTATGCAAATCTGATTTTTAAAAACGGTTCATCTCCAGAATTTATAACATTTGGAAAACTGAATACCTAAAACTGTATCATCTCCTGTGCCACATAGAACTGGAGTTTATGGGTTTGGCTTTCTCTTCACTATCATCCTCTTTCTTTCTTTTTTTCCTTTTTTAGGCAATTGGAGTTAAGTGACTCGCTCAGGGTCACATAGCTAGTAAGTGTCAAATGTTTGGTCTGAGGCCAAATTTGAACTCAGGTCCTCCTGATTTCAGGGCTGGTGCTCTATCTACTTTGCCACCTAGCTGCCTTCATCACCTTCTTTCTAAAACAGGTTCCCCCCCCCCCATATTCTCAGTAAAGTTGTGAAAATACATTTACATCCACTTTCTTTCATTTTAATGGAATTATACTCATGGTATGACTTTGGCTTCTTCAACGAAACAAAATAACTGATTAAAAATAACTTTTTATATATTAAAAAAACTTTAAATCTCAAGTTGAATTATTTATGCATAAAGGAAATAAAAAAGAAAACATACATGAACTATAGTGCCTTGGTATAACGTAAGCACTCAAACATTTGTTGAAGAAATAAAGACTGTAGGGCAGCTAGGTGGCACAGTGGATAGAGCACCAGCCCTGGATTCAGGAGGACCTGAGTTCAAATGTGACCTCAGACCAAACACTTACTAGCTGTGTGACCTTGGGCAAGTTACTTAACCCCACTGCCTAACCAAAAAAAAAAAGAAAGAAAGAAAGAAACAAAGACTATTAATTGAAGTAATGCTCAGAACTCAATGATAAGATGATGGAATAAGGATAGTTTTTAATTACATAATGACACAACAATTTGATTTAACTTGTTCAAAAAACTTCAACAATGGATCATATCCCACAGAAGCACGGACTACATCTAGAACCTTCAGGACCATCTCCATGAATTCTTTAAGGAGGTTAAATAAAAGCAATGCAGCCTGTGAGAACCAGTACTAAGTCAATATAAAACACGTCCCCAACCATTTCCTAAAAAAGAGCTATTCATTTTCCTAGATGAGATAACTGGAGGAGGGTGGAATGCAGGGGATGCTTCTAAATGAGGATCCTTGGTGGATAGGGAAAGAAGTACCCTACTTCTCTCTTCCCCTCACAAACATTTACTAAGCTCCTATTATATGCTGGCCAATGTACTAGGAGCTACTAAGAATACTGCTACTATTCTACCACTACAACTACAACTACCACTACCACTATCACCAATGCAACTGAGAGCTAGCATTTATATAATGCCTTAAAGTTTACAGAGTGCTTTGCAAATCTCATCTAATTTTTTCCTCATAACAACCCTGGACGATAGGTGCTATTAGCCAGAAAGAGGTAAAGTGACTTGCTTGTGTCACAGAGCTAAGTGTTGGAAGCCAGATTTGAATTCCAGGTCAAGCACATCATCTAACTGCATACAAAGAATGAAATAATCTTCCCTAGGAAAAAACTTACGTTCTAATGAGAGAGACAAATATTTTACATATATTTTGATTTATTCTATATGTACATGCAGACAACCAACACACATTCACATATACAAACACATATATGTAAATACAAAATAAATATAAAGAGAATAATTACCCAGCTGGAGACCCAAACTACATGCTACAGAAGAGGCAATAACTGGAAATCTTTTGGCTCTGAGGTAAGTTTTGAGATATAAAGGGTAGTGCCAACTTACTGGCTTAAAACTAGCGAAACAGAAAACCACAGGAGAAAGGACTTCAAGATAGGATTCTCTATTAATATTTAAGGTTTATCATGTTGACCTGGCTGTAGTCTATTTAATTTCTGTTTAAAAATCAAATAACCTGTATTTCACATGAATATCTAAAATAGTTAAAAATTCAAAAGTACATATGACTTTTATTAAGTGATGGTATGTTTCAGAAAAAAAAATCTAGAATGTACAAGGTTATGGGAGTTAAATAAATAATTTTGATATCTGCTGAATAACTGACAGAATATGGTAAAGTTTCCTTCAAATATCTATAAATTTTGATATCTGCTAAAATAGAGATGAATTCATATGTATCTACTTCTCAGAGTTTTAAGGTAACTAAAAGCAATCAAATCCTTTTTGTTTTCCAACACAGCTGCAACATATCCCCCATTTATTGTTTTACAATATATAATACGTAGGTAGTTTAAATTTCTTGAATATCTATCTCTACATAGTTTTGAGTTATGAAGAATACATGGTGGGGTAATATCAAAAATGTGTTTTGCAGGGAGAAAAAGTGAGTCAATTTAATCTTCCTAACTTATTTAAATCAATCCGCTTTAAACGAAATCCACCCTGACATCAAAACACACAAAAAAGGCAACTCTCAATTATTCAGAGGTAGAATATCCAGTCTGTGAATTATTCATTGCTTTGCAGTATGATGATGTTATCAATGCCTGCAGGAGCAGGGGAAGCAACAGCAAGAGCAGGGAAGGAATTCCACTGGTTTGTAAGCCAACAGCAGTTAAAGGATCCCCTAAGACTAGTTTTCTAGAAAGCTAGGGATAGCTGAACTAGCCTTTACATGACTCCTTCTGTTTTCCCTGAAATAATTCATGAAAATAATGATTTCTAGATGAATGTTAAGGGCCGCGTAGTGAGCTGAAATGGAGTTTTAATAGTGGTTAAGAATTTCTAAAGATTCTACTCCATTTTTCTTTGGAGTTAACATTTTCAGTTTAACTCTCAAATTAGTATTACTCCCACTCCCATCTCATTCCTTCTCTCATCTCAAACCTATCCTCCTCCTATTGCATTGTGATTTGGATAAAACTTATTTTAGTGATAAAAAAAGTTCCTTTAATCCCAAAATTATTTCTTTCATCCTGTTTCCTTAACTGAAACTTGGCTCTTCCCTGAAGGGACTACATTTCCTATTTTCTTCTGTCAAGCTTCCCATTCCTCTCTTCCTCAGTCCTTCTCAGTTGTATCCAAATGAGGGAAGACAAGTGAGGGGGAAAGAGGAATAAAATGTTACAACTATTGAATAACATCTCCATACTCTTCAATCAGATATTTGGAGGAGAATACAGAGGAGTACAGATTCAGAGCTAGATTATCTATCCAAAGTAAACTGAAGCTCAAAGAGGTTAGGCGACACGGCCATAAATTTCAACTTAATATGGTTCATCCTACATTCGCAGCAACATCTCACACAATTCCCTAAGCAGACCTTACACTCCATCTAAATTTTTCTATTCATAATTCCTAGAAAATATCTTAAGCTTTCCTACCTCTGATCATGACATTTCTAGTAGAAAATAACCTCCCTGAAGGAAGCAATAGCTGCATTTTTTTCTTTTTTTTTTTTTGGTCTTTGTATCCTAGCATTAAGGAGATGTGTGATGCTTACTAAATGGAACTGAATTCTCATCTTATCCCCTATACATCTAACTATAACATACCCATTCACCAGTCAGGATTCAGGCAAAAGGCTACTTCCTGGTCTATATCCATGCCAGGCTTTTCACTGTGCCTATCATCTCACATACTCCCTGGGACCTATTAACTGGACTCTGCCCCTGGGATCCTAGGCTTTGAAAGGTGAGCTTTTGCATTATCTTGTCCAAGCCTCAGTCCTCTACACCACTTCCATCTTGCTCCACCTTCATGTCATGCTGCCTCATACTTCCCATCTCCCTTTTACGTACTGCCTTCTTCAATTAGAATGTAAGGTTCTTGAGGGCAAGTAATATCTTGCTTGCTTATATTATATTTGTAAGCCCTAGCACAGTCTCTGACATACAATAAACATTTGTTAAAAGCCATAACTATCATAATGTAAAATTTACCTTCATAACAACTTTCACGTACAACCTCTTTTCTCCTCTGGCACTGCCACCACTCTAGAGTGGGCCTTTATCACCTCACACCTGGACTACTGCAATAGCCTACTGGTTGGTCTCCCTGCCTCAAGTCTTTCCACTCTAGTTATTTACTACTCAGCTGTCAAAGTGATCTTCCTAAAGTCCTGACCAAGTCATACCTTCACCCTCTGATTTCCAGCAGTTCCCTATTATCTCCAGGATCAATTATAACATCTTCTATTAGGCATTCAAAACCCTTCATAACCTGCCCCCTCTATAACCTTTATAATCTTCTTACATCTTATTACCCCTTTCCCCCAAGCTCTCTAAGCCTCAGTTTCATCAACTGTAAAAATGGGATAATAATATCATCTCTCTTACAGGGTTACAGTGAGGAATAAATGAGATTAATACATGTAAAAAGCATTTTTCAAACCTTAAAACAGTATATAAATGCTATCTATTATTATAATAATGTGAGTTTGCTTCATCTAAAATCCTCCACTTTCATTCTGCTAATACACAATATACTATTTCTAATTAAAAATGAATTGCTGTGACAAATTAAAAGCTACCCTATTTGGGTAATGACCTGAGCCAGAGGACATACAGAATCAACTCACCATTTCAACTGACATCTGTCTGATCCCTTATAAAACTTCCTGCCCCTTCTGTGGAACAATAATCAGTTCTGATCCAGAAATAATTAAGGGCAATAAACCAGGATTTGCAAAAAGGCCTCAACTTACAAAGCCAGGTCTAAAATGAAATCTAATAAAGTAAAACAAAAGTAACCCAGGTTTATACTTGATTAAAGAGAGAATGAATGATATGCATCACGTCTACTTTACTAATGAGATCTAACATTTATATAATGCTTTAAGGCTTGCAAAGGGCTTCCCAAACATTATCTCATTTTATCCTCAACAACAGTGGGAGGTGAGTGTTTTTATAATGAATCCCATTTTACAGAAGAGAAAAATGAGGCAGACATTGGTTAAGTGACTTGTCCAGAGTCACAAAGCTAGTAAGTGTTTGAAGCTGGATTTGAACTCTGGCCTCCTTAACTCCAATGTTCAATGCTCTATCCACTGGCCAGCTTTGTACATAGTATAACAGTCCCTTTTCTAGAATATCAATGGGTTTTCTACCTCTGTATAATCAAAGAGTCATGGGATAATTTGAGGAAAGCTAATTGTTAGCAAATTATTTCTTATATTAAGTGAAAACTGCCTTCTTCAAATTTTCACTCATGAAGAGGAAAGAGCTGAAATTATTATAAAGTGCTACATAAAAATGGACAGTATTATAGAACTAAAGGACTTATCCAAGGTTACACAGTTAAATAGCCCAGGTCTCTAAATTTAATCCAGTATTCTTTTACTAGACCACATTGCCTCTCTATAAGTAATTACTGCTTAACACACAAATAATGTAATTTCCTATACAAAATGACATTTTTCCAACCCTACAACACAAAATGCTATAGGACTGTAAGTAATAAAAATCTGAAAGATAAATGTTTAATTCTGTTTAAAAGTACAAAAACTAAGGAAATATCTATAAAGAATATTCTTCCTTCTTTTTCACTCTCTAATCAGATACAACAGCAGTCTAGACCTAGTCTTTCCAATTCCAAAACATTTTGAAATTTGACTTCTCATCATACTACTTGATTTAAAATTATTCTCTTCAAAGTTATTCTCTTCAACCTACTTACTGTCAAATACAAAATTGCCTTTTGTTCACATTCACATTTTCTTAGGCACTCAAGCTCACACAGAACTGGTTTTGGCTCCTCTTTAACCTCACATGCAATCAAGTCCTGTTGAGTCTATTTCTGAAAAGTCTTAAGTCCTGGTCTCCTTAACTATTCCCAGTGTTATTACCCAGTGAGTTCAGGCCACCATTACCACTTGCTGAGACTACAATAATCAGCGATTAAATGTTCTCTTCACCTTCAGTCTCAACATACACACAATCCCTCCCAATCATCCTATATATTCCTACAACATTCAATTCAATTAAAAATTTTGTTATTAAATATCTACTATGCACCAGACATTTAATTTTAGTAATACAAAATCCTGGTTATGTCATGACATTCCTTTTACCCAGAATGCCCTTCCCCAACATCCAGCAGTTGTAATACTTTTATTTCATCTAACTACAGGATAAATCACTATCTAAAATCTGGAGTTTTTATTTACTCATCTTAAAGGATAAATTACACAGTCCTAAAAGTAATATTATTTAAGACACAATGTTATTTACAAAGAATTTCATGGGAGTTTGAAGACAATATCAATGTAATGTAAATTTATCATCTTGACTAACCTCATTAATTCCTCCACTTTATCATCTACGTCTAGGTCCTCTTCTGAGGCTTCAAAACTGTATGATCTCTGACCCATGCTGTTTGCATGATAACGAGTGGGAGACATCTTTCCATTCGAAGTGGACAACCTTTCATTACTTTCCCTCCCATTTTGATTAGTAGTACAAGGCTGTGGGGAAGTGTCATAACTGTTGCTGGGTGATGGGGACATCCCCGAATGTTGGGTCTGTGTGGAAGCTGTAGCTGTAGAGGAAGATGCTGGGACATTGTTGGTACTATTTCCATAGGAACCACCTCCATAGCTGGGCCTTCTCCCAAATTTGTCATTATGTTCTTGATCAAGACGATCCAAAGTTTCCAAAGCATGGAGAATTTCATGTTTGGTCATTCCAGTACGTCGAAGGCGCTGAAGCAGGTCTATTTGCTCTATAGTAAATCTGGGTTCATCTGTGTAGTGAGACATGGTTTCCAGCAAACTAAAGAAAAAATGATAAATAAAAATAATTATTTATGTTAAATTATTGGTCACACAGTATAAAGTATGCTTTAAAAATATGGAATATATGTTCATATACAATTATGTTTAAAATAGTATCTAAAAATTCTTTCATATACTAAATGAAGAGTATTAGAGAGTGAGTTTCTTGTGGTTGAAAATACATGAAAATTTAACAAAATAAAGTGTTAAATTTTGTATTTTCCCCAATTTTAAGATATATGAATAAAAAAATCAATTAAAAAACAAGCTTATAATCATTTCAAATGAAAGCAATTTAAACTACCCAGAGAATGATTTCATGCCCCAAAGAGGCCTTTTTTTCACCTCTAATTTTTAGTTCTAGATTAAAGGAATAACAACTAATAATCAAACAACTTGGATCTGTAATGATTTTTTACATCTCAATTATCAACAGAAACTTGTCCTATCATCTTCATTATAAGGGGGAAAAAGACTTTCAGCAAACTATCACTATAAGTAAAAACTAATAACCGATAAAGAAACATTAAAGGAAGACACGGTAATAAGACCTAGAAGGCTTATTATGTGTCTTATCATCCAATCCAATGAGTAGATTCTTAAATCTACTCTTCTTTTTTGACTCATTCATTCTTTTAGTAAAAGTTTAAAAAAAAAAGGAGCTTCCGAGAGAGAGAGAGAAAGAAAGGGAGAGTGGAGGAGAAAGCACTTCAGCTCTTTGGAAATTACTTCCACAGCTAAGGTTTCCTTTAACCATCATTGGGTAGGGCAGCACATCCAAAAATATCTCAGTAAATATTCTTTTCTCTGTATATACAATATATAGCCTAGGCAACATGTCCAGCACTAAGTAGAGATTCTAATAGAGCAATAAAGTCTAATTTCTAAATATCACAGAATTCCCCTTGCTTTCTAATTATAGAGGGATCGCAATAGAATTACTGGTCTGTAAACTGGCTCAGGTTAAAGTTCTGTACCAATTTTATGAATAATTAAATTTCACATATGTATATTCTGAGTCTTAGTTTTATGCTTCAGTTTCTTTTTCCTAGAAATCAACTTCTCCCAGGTCCTATGTCTACTGCACTTTATGGAAATGTCTTATGCTAGACCAAATTGGGAGTATATTCCCTTAAGATAACAATAAACATTCCAGTGAAGGTCCTAAGGCTCGGTGGTGCTTTTTCTATCTTTCGGGAGCTTTTCCACAGCACACTGACCTCAGGGGAAAACCCCAAGTGGCAGAACATTTTTTCTCCTGCCATGGAAAGCAATAAAACACCTTTGCCTCAGTGGAAAATGAATTGATTCTGAGTTGGGACAGTGGTCCTCACCACTGCTGTGCATTCCCAGTTAAGCAACGGGACCTACTACAGAACACAGTAGTCAGTAGGGTAGGGCTTGGGGTGACCTCCATGGCTAATAAGGTTGTAAGATCAGGGGCTGCAAACTCACCTGGATATGACCACTGCACATATTTCTTATTATTCACCTTCACACACTCTACAGTCTAGTCAACCTGACTAGCTAGCTATTTCTTAGAGGGCATTTTATCTTTAGTCAAAGCAGTCCCTATGCCCCTATACATTCCCTCCTCAAATGAACTAGGAAAGGAGACTGTATACAGAGGGAGACAGTATTGGATTAGTCAGTAAGTATTTAGTAAGCACTTACTTGCCAGGCACTGTGCTGAGTACTGGAGGTACAAAGAAAAGCAAAAAAAAAAAATAGTCCCTGTGCTGAGAGAACCAGGTGAAAGCAGTGTCCCAAAGACCTAAACAAAAGAGAGCGTCCAGGACAAAGTGTTCAACGGTGTCAAAGGTTAGGGAGGTTAAGAAGGATTAAGCCTGAGAAGAGGCCAATCAGATTTGGTAATTATGTAATCATTAGTAACTTTGGAGAGTAGTTTCAGTTTAAGCCAGATCACAAAGGGTTTACAAGAGAGTGAGAGGAAATCACCAAGAGTAGATGGCTTTTTCAAGTTGAGTTAAGATGGGAGGAGAGAAGAGGAGCACACACAGGCAAACAAGAGGAGATAGGATGATAGTGGAAATAGCAGGATCAAGAGGATGTTTTAGGAATCATTTTTAATGATTTTAATGATTAATTTGATGATGGTAGGGTCAAATGAGGGTTTTTTTTAATGATAAACTTAGTATGAATATACACTTTAAAAAAATCCTCATTTGAACCTAATCATCTCCACCAGCTATCATCTTACTTATAACATACTATCTCTTCTCCCCATCTCAGCCAAACTTGAAAAAGCCACACCATTAAAAATTGAGATTTGAGAATGTTTGTAGGTTGGAGGGAAGAAACTGGTAGATAGGGAGATACTGAAGAGTACAGAAGGGAGATGACAGAATGTGGAGAAAAGAAAGTAAGGGAGTATCAGGGAGACACACACACACACACACACACACAGAGTCAAATGGACAGATGGAAGGCTCTGCTTCAGTATTTCTCTTTCCTCTGAAGGTAGAGATTAAGCAGGGAAAAGGCACAGTAGGAGATGGCCGTTGAACCTGTAAAGTAGGAGAAAGAAGTCCCACTCTCCATCAACTTTCCTCTTCTTCCCTCAAAGGACAGGTGCAGCAAAAGATAAAAGGCCTGAAGTCAAAGAGGTTGCTTCTCTGCACCACAGGTTTTCCAAATTTCATTTGGGAGAGTAAGCTGGCAATAGAAGGTAGAAGTTGTGCCAGCACAGATAGAATCACTGCTGTGGGGCAAGGGGAAGTCTTTTGGGACAGATGGAAGACATCTTGCCCAGCCCCTTGCCACCTTCCTTAAGAGCATACACTGTGCCCAGGAGAAGATGGAAAACACAAGATGTAAAGTCAAAGAAATTTTTAGCTCCTCTGCTCCCTGAAGAGGTACCTACTTTTCCCTCTTGAAATGACTCTTTATTCTATTTCAATATGTGTGTGTGTGTGCGCGCGCACGCGCGTGTGCATGTGTGTGTGTGTTCTACTCTCCTTTGACCAGTAAAGATGAAAGGTTTAAGTGACCCACACTCCCCGCCATTCCTCTTCATGCACTCCAATTAAGTAAAGTTCTCCCACGTTTCCTCCCCTTCCCTCCTTTTGCAATCCATTCCCTATCTTTTCTTTGTTTAAGATCATCAGAACAAAACCAATTCCAAGCCCTCAGTCTTATTTGCTTCCTTCTCTGATCTATGATATTAAATTTCTGAAGGGATATTTGAAACATCCTTCCTGACACAATGTAAAAAGCTCATCCTTATAAAAAAGTCTCATCTGTTAGCTCATGTGTATATTTACCTTCTAATATTTCTACAGCTCTGGTCTTTTCATCATGAAAATCTGTTAGTCTTCTATTTCACTGAAGGACTATTTTTTCCACTGTAGGATTATAAAAATTTTGCTAATTATGTTATTCTTAGTTATAGACTTATCTTTGGTCTTTTGGGATACTATATTCCATATAGTCCTCTCCTTCATAAAAGTAGCTACCAAATCTTGTGGTTCTGATGAGTTCCTTGGTAGTTGAATTCTTTCTTCCTAGACGCTGGAAATATTTTTTCTTTGATCTGTAAGTTCTGATTTTAGCTGTGACATACCTGGAAGTTTTTATTTGGGGGTTTCTTTCAGGAGATGATCAGTGGATTCTATCTTTTACTCTACCCATATTTTTTTCATTCTCTCTTGAAATAGGCTGTTTCTGGTCATGATTTTCAATCACAATGCATCTTAAAATTATCTCTTCTAGTCCTATTTTAGCTGAGGTTTTATTTAAAATACCTTATATTTTATGGTATTTTCAATCTTTTGACTTTGTTTTAACTTGCTTATATAGTCATTAACTTCTGTTTGATTTATCTTAATTTTCAATGAATTTGTCTGTTACTTGGGTAAACTTTTTTTTCTTTTGGTGAAGCAATGGGGTGAAGTGACTTGCCCAGTGTCAAGTGTCTGAGGCCAGATTTAAACTCAGGTCTTCCTGAATCCAGAGCTGGTGCTCTGTCTAGCTGCCCCCTGGATAAACTTTTATACCTCTTGCACTAAGCTGTAAATGCTCTTTCTAAATCTCTTTCATAGCTCTCATTACTTTTCCAGTTCTTTCTTCCAGGGTTCTTTTTAAAATTTATAATAAAAGTTTAAACTTTCCCTTAAAAAACAAAAAACCTCTTGTATTTTCTTCTGCTTGGAATTCTAATTGGTCATGTAGCCAAGATACTGTTTTATTTGGAGGCTTTACTTGCAGGCGATTTAGAAATATTTTCTTCTTTTCAGTTCATGTCTTGGGCATCCCAGGGACATCTTCATCATGGTGCCTTTTTGTTTTTTGTTCACTCATTCTTCCACCTTACCTGAAAATTCCATACTGGTTTTGGGTCTCTTCTGGTTGAAAAAGATACTACTACAGCTGTCTTCTGCTTAATGATTGCTTCTCTTGGTTAATGACAGTTCCCTGTTCTATAGTTCCTATCTTGGTTTCTTACTTGCCTGTGGATCGAATCTGTGATCTTTTGTTGGAGAAATGACCTACTGCAGTTTCTCCTTCAATTTCTGATCACTGCTAGGTCTGGCACTTCTCTAATCTTCGAGTAACTGTCAAGGGAGCTAGGATTCCATACTTCTTGCTACTGTATAGCTTGCTTGGTCCTCTGTAATGCTAACTATTTGAACTCTGCATCTTTTTCTAGATGCTCACTGATAACTATCTCTGAGTTCTAAGGTTGTTGGTACTGTAAATACACATATATAAATCCTGGTCAGGACTGTACAACAGTCATTTTAACTACTTCTGAATGTGTCTAAAATTTATTAAAAAATTTTAAAAAGAAGAAATTTTCATTTGGCCTTTTCCTATATTTTTTTTAAGCTAGAGATCAGGCAGATTCCACTTATTCTTTATTGATAGTATTTTCCTTTCACAGCTGGTCAATGTTTCAAGAGGCTTTTCCTAATTCCCCTAGTTCTTTGTGTGTTGTTCACTCAAATTTGCTTTACATTTATTTTACATATATCTTGT